ACTCCGAAATTAGGCAAAGTTAGTATTTCTAAAAAAATATATATACACTCTCAGTTGAACCTCGATTTTACGAATTTCTTGATTTCACGAACAAATTCGAATTTCTCTCGCAGCTTATGCGCGATGTCTCTTTTTCTCGATTTTACGAAGTTCCCGATTTAACGAAATAATTAGTTGGTCCCGGTGACTTCTTTAAATTGAGGTTCAACTGTATATACTGTGAAATCCCGTAAGGATGCCCACCAAAAATGAAAAGATAAATGGTGAAAAACATCTTTGGGGATGCCGCAGCAAAACTTTATTAAAAATTAGTGATAAGCACTGGGGCACCCGCTACAAACCACATGACGCGTGCACTGATACCGCAGATCGCGGACACGGCAAATTCGCGTTTCACAATGCGATAAACATGCGGGAATTCGCTACAAACTCCTGCGTCACGGGAAGGGATACCGCAAGTGGTCGACGCAGCAGATTTGCATTTCACGGTGCGATGGATTCGCGGAAACCCGCCGAAAACTCGCATCTCACGGAAACAGATACCGCAGATCGCGGATGCAGCAGATTCAAGTTTCAGGGTGCAATAAAGACGCGGGAACCCGCTACAATATTGCCTGTCACAGAAGCCCATATCACGCGTGCAGATCGTGGACAAAAATGTGGGAATACGCTACAAACTCGCATGTGACAAAAACAGAAACCGCAGATCGCGGACGCAACAGAATCGCATTTCACGATGCAACATACACGCGGAAACAACTCGCGCGTTCGATATTGCACGTGCAAATTGCGGGCAAAATTACGGGAATCCGCTACGAACTCGGGAACGGATATTGCGAATGCAGCACATTTGCATTTCACGATGCTATATACACGTGGGAACAACTCACATGTTACGGGAGCCGATATCATGCGCGCAGGTCGCAGACAAAAATGCAGGTACCCGCTTTGAACTCTCTTTTCGTATGCACTGTTTCCGCAGATCGCACCGTTGATGCGCGATTCCCGTCGGACATCGCTTAAAGTCTAACGGGAATCGGGGAGTGGACAATGTTTCGGAATTTTTATGCTACAGATATTTAGCGAGAAAAACGGGATGAGTAATCTCTCGGGGAGGGCGCCCTTACGGGATTTTGTTGTATAAATTTTCGTATGGCAGTTTCTGCTTTCCTCACAATTTTATTAGCAGCATTCTCAGAAAATATTTGTATTTTAATGGTGATATTTTCTGAAGGTGTGAATGGTTGAGAGATTGCCATATAGGTGATTAATACGGTAAAAAGCTGAAAAGAAAAAAAAATTAACCCAAGGCAAATTAAAACTATAAGAGCAGAACTATGTTTCGTGCGGAAGTGAATCGACGAAATGAAATATTGTGTATGTCATTACTAGCTCTGGAGAAATGGGAACGGGAGCTGGCAGGTCGGTTGCCTGCAGGACACGTGTTTGAGACCCCTGATGCATGTACACTCACCGATCCATGGTGTATTAATGTTTCAACATACCCTTTCTGATTCTCCACCAAAAAAACTTCAGAGACATGCTGCTTATTTTTGCTCATTGAAACATGCACAAAGTTTGGTCCAATTGGAAGTAGTACTCTTAGGTCCAGGAAGTCACCTTTGCTTGTTCATATAATACCATGTTTACATGTTTGGTCAAAATGTGGATCGATGAAACAATGGACCGTAAAGGCTGTACCCTTTAAACGAGCATTAGCATATGCCACCTAGCCCAAAAAGCATATAGAATGTGGTTCCGCCCCTTTTAGGTTAATGCTTTTTGTAAATATCACCGGGCCAAGGGGTGTTTGCTGGAATGACTGTCAAGTGATAGGGCAAAAAAATAAAAACATTCACCCACCTTCTCTTTTTCTTAATTAGGGAGTTGCCAATTTTCTATTGGCCCCCAACACCAGACCTACTGGTGTACAGGGTTGAGACCTTGGGCCAGAGCCATGAGGGAGGGAGTCCAATTTTTCTTCTGTCCCCCAGCTACCATAAAATACCGGGCAAGCGCCCACTCAAAATTTAGGGATAATCACAAAAAAATAGGGGACGGGCACTTGTCCTGTCATCAGTTTTACATTTCAATGTACTCTGCATATTTTCTCAGATCTTACAAATTTGGGTATGGGCACTTAGTGTAGTATGGGTGGATGCGCGGTATTCTACAGTGTGCTACTTAGTTGTTCTTCAGTTTTCCTTAGATAATTTTCACCGGCACTCTAACCTCCTCTCTGTGCATATACTTTGCTGTAATCCAAACTGCTATCTTTTTCAGCAGAACTGAGGGCCTTCGGTATTTCTGTCACTCTTTTGGGAAAGGCAGCACTGAACTCCTTACATGTTACAATCATGTCAAATTTTTTTCCTCTTGTTTCCCTCCTTTTACATATAGTGCACATTTTGTCTATATCTTTAAATTTAGCCCTGTATGTGTTTATTCTTAAAGGAACACTTATAGGGTATTTATGCTTGCCAAGGTTTTTATTTGTGCATGACATATGAGAGTTTAACAAGCCAAAATACAATTTGTGGCTCGAAATTTCTTTCCTTTTTGCCCATAAACCGCCGATCGAGAACTGGCCGGTTTGAGTTGCGCTTTCTATCTTCTCAGTGGCCACGTGCCATTTTCTATGGTTTAGGCACAACCACCAAAGATAATCAAAGTTGTGGGTCATCAAAGGGACACACTTCCGGTCACTTTATCCTCCTTTATATTTCTTCTTCCTTCCGAGTCCAGTTTCGGTTGGGAGCAGTTGTGTTTTTTTTACTTTAATAAATATATGTGATGCTGTAACAAAATATTGATTGGATACTCTTTTGAAACCATAATAGATCGTCTGGAAAAACAATAATAATTTTTGGGGTGTGTCAGTGTTCTTTTAGGACTCCTGTCCTGGCCTGAACTTGAGTTCCTGTATAGGCTCCCTGCAGGAGCCAGAGTTGTGCGTTCATTCCCGTAGCGGCATCTTTTCTCCATGCCATTTGGAGCCTGCTCCTGATGTGACTGAATTCGGCGAATAGCGGCGCTGCACGTTCGAGGCACACAGCGTGCTCAGAAGTAGGGGAATGTACGCCGGGGCTTGTGCAACATCTACTTTCCTGCACAGCATCTGAGTCTGCTCCTCACATGATCGTATCTCAGTGAATAGTGGTGCGGCTGCACTTGGAAAGCAGACGCGCAACTCTGGCTTCCGTAGGGAACCTATACAGGAACTCTAGCCTGATCCAGCTAAGTTCTCCCTCTGGAATTATCGCCTTGGCAAGGTGTGCCCACGGTTACCGGACTGGTTTTCAACCAAAACATGGTTGCCCCTAAATGTGCATAGACGAAAGAGGCCGGACAAGCTAGAAAGCGGCCACAGATGACGAACCTGAAGAACATAACAGAAGGAAATGTCGCACATTTGGGTGTAAAGCCCGGATAAATTTAGTTATTCTTCGGTGCCATGGTCATGCTGTGGAGGCGGCCTAGAAAGCGACCAGCCGAGTCGAAGTCAAATTGCAAAACTGTTTTAATTTTTGAGCAGAAAGAGAAAGAAAAGAGAAGAATAGAAACGAACAAACCAACAGACAGACAGTGCACGCTCTTGGCGCGTGCCGTTCGGCAGCGGTGCAGGTGTAAGGGGGGCGCTGCCACAGATGCCAGCAAAGAAGGAACAAACAAAAGAGGGAAGAATTTAGATCGTACAACTGAACATAACACATGCCTTTCGAACGAAGTGCCACCAACAGCAGACAGTAAAACTCTCAGTGAACTCTGTAACCCAAGGTTTTAACTAATCTTTTCTTTTATTAGTGGACTCTTATGTGTCTGTAATAATAAGACAAACCTGAATTTATTTAACCAGTTTCTTCCCAAAACAAGCTGTCCATAGGCTGCACTGCGGGTTTTGATATTTACGAGGCAGAGTTGCATAAGGAGGGATTGGTCCCCCAAAATTGTCTATATTGTGGGGTGTTTATATTAGCAGGACAGGAACACATCACATGTTGAAATTCTTTTACTGATAACTTCAATGAAGACTTTCAGTCTGACTTGCCATAATCAGTCATTTACAATTGGAGAATGACATATTGTACAATCTCCAGAAATATTGTTTTTGTTCCACTTCCTGAATAATTAGGTATCCAGCCCCCCAAAAGTAGTTGGACCCAGATTTATAATCCAAAGTTATAGTAAGTTACAGGTCAAGAAGGTAGCGGAAAATGTTCCTCAAAGGGATTCATTATCCCTCCACCACCTTTGCATCCAATAGCGTCCTATCGTTGCCGTGACGTCGTGGACAACGCGGGAGAGGGTTTTGCCTTGTTGTGAATATTTGCTTTGTCTTTCGAATTTGACTTAGCGTTGTGCAAGCCACAAGAGAAAGATTGGAAATTCCCCCCTCCGATGGAAACAAACACTCTGGGGCGTTAGGTTCACCCTCCGATGGATACAAAGGCCACTTTCAAGGGCTTGGTTTCCTCTCCAATGAATACAAATGTCTCTTTCTTAAAAAGCGGGGGTCGGAGACAAGTTGGCATCACTGTGTAGAGATTATCTATTCATTGAAGCGGAACAAGGGGCGTTTCCAGGAAACTATTCTTTCGACTGCGGATGGATTTCTAGCAGGCGCATCACGCTTATGGGAGGAGCTTCTACCTTCTTGACTTGTAACCGACTATAGTGAGCTAAATCGTTTTCTTGTGACAAAAAAATTTCTAAACAGAAAACCTTTTCAAAGTGACAAGATATGTAAAGTATGATTTAGAAATCAAGATAATAAAACACATATATGAATTGTTTAGGGATTTTTCTTTTCAAGATTAGTGACTTCCCTTAATGGTGCCATTTGCATCTGAGTGCTTCCGTGACTCGAATTTTAAAGCGCAGCAGAATATTAAACTGTACAGCAGCATCAAGAATGCATTAATGACTACTCTTTTCCAAACTAAGTGGCTATCTTGGTTGTGATTTCCTTGTGTCAATATACATATGGTCTTTTCTTCTAGGTGATCGATCCGCATATTTGGGGGAGACCAGCTGCCCCCTGAAAGTCGTTGAGGACATCTGGTTTGTATGCTGTTCCTGCAGCTATGTCACCAAAGATCCACATGTAATTGTGAGCCACCTGGCTGCTCATGGTGATGAACAAGCCAAGTGCCAGCATCCTCCCATGTCTGGCTCTAAGTCCCAAATGATCGGCAACACTCGAAAGCACAAGAGAGAGAAGCCATTTAAGTGCAAGCTTTGCCCCCAAGAGTTTGCTTATAATTCCCTTCTAATCTGTCATAACCGAACACACACTGGTGAAAAGCCATTTAAGTGCAAGCAGTGCCCCAAAGCCTTTTCTCAAAAATCCAATCTGCAAAGTCATAATCGAATGCACACAGGGGAAAAGCCATTTAAGTGCAAGCAGTGCCCCCAATCCTTTGCTCAAAATTTCTGTCTGAGAAATCATAATCTAATCCACACTGGTGAAAAGCCATTTAAGTGTAAGCAGTGCCCCAAAGCCTTTGCTCAGAGTTCCCATCTGCAAAGGCATAATCGAACACACACAGGTGAAAAGCCATTTAAGTGCAAACAGTGCCCTGAATCCTTTGCTGAAAATTGCTTTTTGAAAAGACATAGTCGAATGCACACTGGTGAAAAGCCATTTAAGTGCAAGCAGTGCCCCAAAGCTTTTGCTCTCAATTCCAATCTGAAAAGACATAATCGAATGCACACAGGTGAAAAGCCATTTAAGTGCAACCAGTGCCCCAAAGCCTTTGCTCATAATTGCTATCTGAAAAATCATAATCGGATGCACACTAGTGAAAAGCCATTTAAGTCCAAACTGCCCCAAAGCCTTTGCTGAAAATTCCAGTCTGCAAAGCTATAATCGAACGCACACAGGTGAAAAGCCATTTAAGTGCAAGCAGTGCCCCAAAGCCTTTTCTCTTAATCGTAATCTGATCCATCATAATTAAACACACAGTGCTTAAAATCCTTAGAAGGGCAAAGAATTCCTAAAAGCTTTGCTCAGAATAGGAATTTACCCACCAGAAACAATGCACACGTGCAGAATGCCTTGTGGATGACCCGTAAGTTAAGTATGCCGCCTGTGTAATCATCTAACTCATGCGCAGAACTTTATGCTATTTTAATCGAAGTATGCATATACCCAAGTTGAACATCCCAAAGGCTTTGCTCATTTTTTAAGTTTTTCACACTGAAGCCTTTATGCACAATAAGCCTCACAAATTCCTGCGGTGTCCCAGGATGTTGTCATTTGCTATCTTACCTTATCGGGCACATGCTAACCTATGAGGTTCACAAAGCTTAAGAACATTTGCGTAAAGCCTGAACGAAGTGGGCCTTTCAAATGCCAGCAGTTCCGAGAAACTTGTATTGGAATTCCAGCTTGGTTGGCCGCATAGACTGTGCGCACAGAGCCAGACTATTTGGCCTTACTCTGGAGCCTCTTGTCCAAATGCCACTGTTTGTCATTACTCTAATGTATTGGTTAGTAGTAAATGATTCATCTCCAACTGTGATCTACAAGCTGGGTCGATAAATAAGAGATATTGTTTCATGTTTTTCAGAGCAGCTGCTCTGTGTTCTGCACCCTAACGTACATTGGGTCATACTCTAGCTCTTGTTCCAAGCTCCCTCGAACTCGCTCGAGGTGTGCTCTTAGATGTGAGGTCTAATATGTTTGTAAAAATGTCTTTATAGGTTTCCCTTTATACTACTATCTACGAGGAAGATAGAATGTAACAAAAGTTAATGCGTAACCAGAATTTAATTCTGTTTATTAAAAAAAAAGTTTGGCAGTTTCTTTCAGCGGCTGCCGATTTTGGTACTGAAGTAACGGCTCGTCGACACCCCTGCAACTGCTTACGACCGGATAGGCTAAAAACCGGTTTTTAAGCCTTTTGTGAGGGCTTACGAGTTTCTGCATTTATGTGCAGCCGGTAGGCAGCAGTCACAAGAGGCTTGACGGCCGGTCTTGTCTCAGTCGGTCGTAGCGAAACGCAAGTGTGTGAACGGACCTTAAGTAGTGTGAAGTAACTTTTTCCTAAATTTTTCTTTTGCCGTCCTGTATTGTGTTAAGACCTCATTCTAGCAGTTTCCTCGATGGGGGGCTAATCGCCGCGTGTGTGTGTGTGCACCACAACATTTCCTGCTACTGGTTGGGACATCGCTAGTTGAATATCCTTCGCACTGCCCAGCAGGTTTTGCTATAAATTAGCATTGTACCCATTCTGAATGCAGTGTAATGCCCCTTCGGGACTGCATTCACGCAAGTTGTGGAAAATTTAGAACTAACATGCTTGTACTGTAAGTTTTTTCGGCTTCCTTTTTTGCAATGATGTGTTTATATGACAACTACTTTGAGATGTAGGTGTCCTTGTATGTTGGAAAACTCCTCTTGCTTGTTTTTGTGTAACACAGGTTAATAGTTTGTTTCTCTACTTCACTGATGGCTAACATTCTTATATTCTTTATTAGAATAAGGAGGGTCAGTGAAGCCAAGTTTCAATGAATAGTAACTCTGCCATGAATTTGCTTTGGTTACAGGGTCCTTTGAATTGTTGCTTAATGTGTGTTTATTTTGTATTGTATATTTAATTTGAAAGCATATCTTTATTGCTATTATTTTCTTTTTTCTTTTCACTCTTTTTCATTCGGCTTGAACAAAATCTGCAGTTGATAAATATACATAATCAGACTTTTGTTTCACTGTTTCTCAGCGATAAAGGTCTACAGTCAAGCGTCTGCAGTGATGTTATTCCTTTGTCTGCCATTGCATACCTTAGCTGAAGCAAACCTGCCACAGGCGGAGTAGCTCTTTAGAAAGTTCTTGCTTTGCCATCCTGCTTGATGCTGGCTGGGATCTCTGTAGCAGTTCAGAGAGTGGTGGCTTCTAATACCTGTTCTGACAATAGCCCCATTCCTGCCCTCCAGCTGGCTTATGCAGGAGGTAACATCATGTTTTTTTTGTATTGTCTAATACATGTGAAGGCTGATACTCCTCAGCATCGGCATCTTCGTAAATGCAAATTGTTAAATGACAGTTCCTTCATTTCAGCCATTGCAATCTTTCACTTATGTGACCGGAATATTTTGTTGCACCAGGCACTTGTTCCTGGAAGGCTGTAGTTGTGGCTCCTGCCTCCCTTCACCAGAGTTTGTAGATTAGACATCGTCATTGAAGTTGCAGTTTCTTGTTTGTTTTCTTAGATTGAGGAACACTGCAGATTGTATATGGTTACAGGGCATGTTTAAAATGACAACAGATGCATATACAGAGTCTGACGATGCAGTCTCTGTCGTTAGCAGCTTGTGCCGAGTTGAAAGGTGTTGGGCCCACCCTGCATTTGCTTATGGCGAGAAAGACGTATAGGATCACTGACAAAATGAGAACGTCGGCGCCTGTCTTTTGAACGCCCAGCCTCCATCATGCGCTCCATGTCTTCCGGCGTGAATTGGCAACGTGTGCACGCTCAAAGTCCATGAGACTCCAAAGCGTTCTCGAAGCTACGCGCCGAGAAACTGAGCGAGAGGAGGAGACGAGGATGCGGTGGGACATCAGAACACCAAGCTCTGAAGCTCTGATCATCGAGTTATTATAATGTACGCTAGGGGTTCAATGGCACTAGTGTGCTGTCGCAAATTAAAGGGGTCATGAAACGATTTTCCTACTTCTTCCTCTTAGCTTTAATCCTCAACTCAAATGCGAATTGTGAAATCACGTGGTCGTGACATTCCTTTGGCACCGGTGCTGTGACTCCTAGCTTCCACCGTGCTTTTTATGCACACCATAGAACTTGTCATTCCCCAGTGACAATAAGTTCGTTCACGGCAGTTATTGAATACGAACGCGAATCCAAATATTCGTCGACGGATTGATTGTTGACGAGCGCATACGTCCGAGTGACGCAGTTCTCGTGTCCAATGAGTGAGCTGGGCTCTGCTGACGTCAGTTTGGCGCTGGTGACGCGTTTTTGGAACCGCAGATGTATCAGTGAAAAGGCGGAGAGCTTTCGAAGGCAAGAAGGTACAAAATAGTCTGCTATATTTTCAAATGTTCGTACCGAAAAGCTGGCTTTTGACTTTCTAGCCTCTTTCTTTTGGCCAACTAAACGATATGCGATGAGTAAAGTCCCAATTTAAAATCATTCGTCCCAACCCAAAATTTGTTTCATGGCCCCATGGACATAGGACTAATTTTCAAAATATTTTGAAAAAATTAGTTTTTCAATTTTGAGGTTTTCGGTTTTAGAAACTAATTATACACCCATAAACTAAATTTCATAACCATGCGCCAAATAGTTATGTTGATATAAAATATTTTCAACACATTGCGAGGCACTTACAAGGTAAAGGAGTTCAATGTTTGAAGGCATTTTTCTGTTCCACTGGCTGCAAATGTCATACGAAGGAATCTTTTGTTTGCGGTTAAAATTATTCTCATACCACAATCAAGATATTTCTGCACTGAAATTTACTGGGGAATCGGGCTATCTACTTTATTTTGTTTTAAGTTAAAGTCCTCATTGAGAAAAAGCTATGTTTTGAAAAATTTACATAGGACACTTATGCATCTCATATTTTGAGGTAATCATTCTTCCTGAAATATTTACATTTGAGTTATTAAAACTAGATAGCCCGAAGTCCCACATCCCCCACTTTATTTTCAAGCAGTTAAAACGATGCTTAATAGCTTCATTTGCATATCATAGATTTCTTAACAATGAGACACACCTTATGCAGGTATGTAAAGTTGTCCTAGAGAGCTGAACGTTTTCATAGTACCCCTTTATCTGAAGTTAAATCTTCCCTGCAAATTTCACGCCGATCACTTGAATAGTTCAGAAGTTCAACCTCTAGCCAGCAGGCAGCAACCAGTCAAAAATTTACTTCCGGTAATGCATTCCTATGGGAAAAAGTGAGTGCATATCCAGAATGATTCCTACGTAATAGGTAGCTTGGAGCATTTCTCAGTCAGGCAGACAAAATAATTGGTCAGTTACAGCGTTTTTCTTTCAAATTCATCGCATTAAAAACGGCGCTAAGACGGCTTCTTACATGTATTGATGTGCACTGTCGGACACTGTTAGTGTGAACACGTCTACGCTTTCAAGCATGAGGGACGTACGTGCCAAACGAACGAAGGACATCTGAAAATCCAAAGGAGATGACAAGAACTATGCAGTAGCACTGGATGAGTAGCTTCTGTGCGTGAACGGTCGAAATAAACTGAAGCCATGTAATATAGTCCGATTTTCAATAAGTAAGCCCTGCTTTCATTCTGCTCTGTGCGAAGATGCTTGTTCTATGTTCAAAACATCACCCACATGCTCGAAATCTTTGAGGCAAAGTGGGTTATAAAAACTGCCGGGCATAGAAAATAATTTTAAGAAAAGACACCTTTCATAGCCCACATACTTTATGACTAGGGTTCCGTGTTTTTGAAGTTTATTTTTCGTTGAATTTGGAGGGTGTTTTTCGGAGTTTATTTTTGTTTCATTCCCAATTCTCCAAAATTCTGTGTTTAATGACGCAGTGTTTTCTTTTAAAACAAATTAAATATTCGCATGTAAACGTATGCCAGATAGAGGAGTCAAACACGCTTGTATCGATTAATATTTGTTAAGCTGAATTTGGCGTTGCTGCCATTTCTATCTGCAATAATTTGTCCCACGTCAAACGTTGCACGCAAGTGTTGCTTCTATAAACATAGATACCTTAAAATCAAACTCTTAGAGGAATTCGGTAAGCGGTATTCATCCTATCCTATTTTATCGATCTATCCTGTGGCTGCGCGAGGTGTGGTTAAAGACCGATCTAGAAAATGATTTACCGTATGCTCCTCACCACCCTTTTTCTTTTCTCCTTTCCCCTGGTAAATGGACAAAAGGGGAACTCCTTTTGTTGCTGTATCTTAGGGCTGGTTAAGCCGGGAACTTATCTCGGCTTATCTAACCTGAAGATGCAGCAACAAAAGGAGTCCCCCCTTCCTGTCTGGGAAAAGGGAAGCGTGGAGGGGAGGAGTTTTTTACCTTGCAGAAAAACTTTTTGTAGGTCAGACATTAAAGGGGTATGGAAACGAAATTTCGGGGCTCATTTTCTAGCTTAAATCTGTCACATGTTGCAGCATAACCTCAAGAACAGCAGTCTTTCGTTGAAAGGCACAAGAAAACTAAATTTAAAGCTAATTAATCTTATCTTTCAATGTGCACCTGGTGAATGCCTGTGAAGCTTAGTTGGGATGTAATCTAGTAATGTTGGGGATCTTGCTACCTAGGTCATGACGTAGCAAGTGCCGCACTAAACATCGGAGCAGCGCCACTCTGGAAGTACGCTCAACTGTTTAAAGCGGCCATGGAACAATTTTTCAATTTTTTCTTAGCTTTCCTCCTCAACTCACAAATCGTGCATTGTACCAAACAGTTCAAGAAGACAAAAAGGAGGGGCTCCCTTCTTAGTCGGACACGTTTGTGTGTACCCGGACACTGCCATCCTCGCCCTAGAAGATTAGCACATTGCTCAAAACTCGGGTCAAAAGTTGCTTTCCTTACCCCGTTCACCCCTAAGCTGACAGTGCTGTGGAAGCTACCTGCTTCATGCTTTTTATAACAGAAATAAAACTGCGACGAAAAATGAGGCCGTACCGTAGGATCAACATGATGCATTTTGTGAAGAGGTTAAAGCATTGTTCTCGAATAAATATACTCGCTGTCCTCTAAAATAGTTGCTTTCGATTTTACATACTGGCACTGTGAGATAGTGTGAGCTTAATAGATTTATTCACTCTGGCTC